AGTTATGGCGAATTGATCATTTATGATTTCCCCATTACCAATTTCCAGAGCTCGAATATAAGTTTTCACTGATTTCTTCTCATTGATATATTTATAAAGCAGTTTAGGATTTGATTTAAATTTGCTAGCTAAAGTACTTTCAAATTGTTTTATATTGTTCTTAATATCATTCTTTATTCTAATTTTTAGCTTATTATACTGAATTTTTTGTTGATTCCTCATTCCAGCCATTACGTTTATTAGCAAGCCATATATTGTTTTTAGTTCTTATTTTATGTTTCAATTCAGGAGTAATCCATTTGTTTCTGTTCCTTCTATTTTGATAATTAATTCTTGGTATAAACAGATTAGTTGCATAATTGTAATGATACAAAAATAAATCATACATTTCATTTATAGATTTACTTTTAAATCCATTTTCCCAATCTACATTATTGAAATGGCAAGAAAATAGTTCATAATTTCCTTTTTGATATAATCTAATGGATTTCTTATGTTCGGTTGAAAACTTATAATCATTCATTAGATAACAACACTTTAACAAATGATGACCCTGTTTGACATTCCCTAAAGGAGCTGAGTGAGTTATAGAAACAATTTTGTTTTTATCGTTTGTGATAATAAGGTCTAGAATATTAGTTGATTTGTAGTTTGCTATTTGGAATGTTGGCTCACATACACATTGAAACAGAAAACAATCTTCAAGACATTCAATAAATTTATTAGTTTGAGATTCATTATCAGTTGCTGAAAAAGGACAATTATTATCAGACCAATCTATTGTATTATAGTTGAAGTCACCTGTAATAATAAGATCGCTGTATTCTTTTTGATAAATACTTATTTTAGCAGCATTAATAGATAGCAAAACATAGTTATTATACTCATGAGATATATCTGGTGGTCTATAAATGCATCCAATTAGCATTTTGTTATTTTTAAAACATATACAAGTCCATATTTGTTCTATAAAATTATTGTTTAACTGTAAATTATTTGTTTCAAACTGATTAATACATTGTTTTACATAAATACAAACACCTCCTCCATGAGTCTTTCTATCACTTCTAAAAATATTATAACTTATTATATTTACATCTGATTCTGCTTTAAACCAAGTTTCTGTAACACAAATAACATCCGGTTTATGTATTTCATATTGTAACCTTAACTCATCAATCTTATTATTCAGAGACGTTGCATTTGTATACCAAATCATCAGTTCATTGCATTTTTGAGTATCGTGCTCCTTGTTTATACTTAAATCACATTTCTTACGCTCATGATAGTTTACCATTTCAATATCTAGCTGTCTCTTATTGCTCAGCAACTTGTTAAGATTTTGACCTCCACCACTAAACAGATTTATTTTATTGTTAGTTTCATAGTTAAAGCATCGTCAGGGTTAGGGTTAGGGTTATATACTTGATATATACTAGGTATATACTTGAGTATTTCTATTTTTGTTTATATTGTCATATAATTTTGTGCATCGTTTATATTGATGTGTTCATATGTGTATTGTTTATATTGTTGCGCTTTTTTTTTTTTTTTTTTTTGTGTTGTTGCTAATTATTTTTATTATTGTTGCGTTTTACATTTGCTGCTATTATTCAAGTGATTTGATATTTTTATGTCTTATAATATTTAAATATATCTTTTTGTTTTATTTTTTATTTTTTATCAACCTTTCTATCGTCCTTTTAATCTGATTTTTTTGCTTTATTTGTTCATTTTATATATATATATATATATATATATATATATATATATATATATATATATATATATATATATATATATATATATATATATATATATATATATATATATATATATATATATATCAAGTGAACTTGATATTGAGCATAAGTTGCACATTCTAACACCAAGTGCAATACTGTCCATTGTCTCTATGCCAACCTTCTAACTTGACTTCTAACTTTCTCTCTAATATCCTTCCTTCTTCTAAAATTCACTTACTCTGCAAAGGATTTATGATGCTATTTAGTGAGCTGAACTCGTCTTCGTGGGCCTTTGTATGTAGCCTCTATATGGCAATTATTCAGAGAAGGATAAACCACATGGAGGATAATCACCAAGAAAGAAGGTATATATTAAATAAATAGTATATTAGATGTATTTTTATATTTACTTTTTTGTAGTGCAGTCTAAAAAAGCTCTTTTAATTATTATTCTCGTTATCTGATATAAATTTTAATTATTAAAAACTGTGGTTTTCAACAAAGTTTTCTGCAGAATAGAAATTTTGGTTTTAATAATTAAATTATTATTATTTAATAATTTATTTGTATTTGATTAATTTGATTTTTAATTTTAATTATATTGATTAATTTTGGTTGTAGTTTTAAAATGAAATACTGCTGTTGAAGGTTTTTCTCAGACCTTTATGGTTTGATTTCGGTTTCAACCCAACCTTGAATTTTAAATGTATCTATATCTGGATCTTCCAGTGTTATGCTGGACAATTGGATAGATGTTTTCAAAGTTCCCTGGAAAAGCTGCAAGCTGAAATCATGGATTTACTCCACAAAAATGTTCTTTTGCCACGAAAAACACGAAAGTACTATGATAAGGGTCATTTGTTATGATATACTTTCATACATGTTTATATGAAATCTATAAAAATCCATAGCTTTTCATATTACCGGCAATGTATTCTTTAACTTCATCTACGTCTAACCTACACTTTCTTCTATATCACTACATCCTGATTATCTGCAACTGAATGCTTCACATGCTCGTTCTACATACAATTTTTCAACAGTACTTTTTTTTCTTTTTTTTCACTGTAAATAATGATTTATTAATCTTATCTAATTATTATTTAAATGCATCGCAAAAATAAATCCTGAAAAAAGAAATTATATCGATGAAAAAACTGGTAAAAAAGTAGTATGTAGGACCTCACCCAAAAGTTTTGAGTTTTTAAACGAACTGGCGCTGTTTGAGTGAACAGAGCATCAATAAATCAAAAGACGTTTTGTTTATGTTTATTATAACTATTATAATATAATAAATAACAACTTTTATAATATAGTAAAATTTGTCATAATAAAATGTCATTTTTTATCTTAAATATTATATAATATATACAATAACTACTATAATATAATTTGTTTATATTTATATCTATAATTACTTGATGTGTACTATATTATAATTTTTAATCACTTAAAATACGAGTAGTTTCTTAATAGTCGAATTACATTTTTCTAACAACATGTAAATTCTATTCATTTATTTTTGATTTTTGCGTAAACTCTGTGAAATGAGTCAAGTAACTGAACTCAAGTATCTACTTGCTGAATTAATGGAGTTTTTCCATTAATTTGAATGGAAAAAATTAAATACGGAAACCATAAATTTTACGGAGAAAGTGCTGTCTTTGCTGCCTGACATTCTCTGTTAATTTGTACGGAAAAAAATGAAATACGGAAACCGTAAAAAGTGCTCCATCCTTTTTTACGGACATTTTCCCGGAAAATAGAAACTACGGAAACAGTTAATTTTTACGGAGAAAGTGTTATCACTTTGGAGGGATATAATTTTTTACCTTAAAATGTAAAAAACTATGCCTTACTAAGGGTATATCACATATCCTACCTTGAATAGAAATTTTGACTTTTTTTTTAGTGTGTATGATTTGCTCGATTTATTTCATTTTTATTGATTGACAGTTTTGATAACTTCAACGGAGATTAGTTGATTGTCTTATTTTATGGAGAGTAAAGCTTGTTTTTTTTCACAATTTAATAATAACTTATTTGCTATAAATCATTGGTTAAAGCTTTCTAGTTCAGTGTTCATTGTTTTGAACAATATTTTTTATCAAAATTGTTGTAGAATAAATTTGTTTCGTCTGCATACATAATTGATATTATTTTATTAAAAGTTTTATTCATATCATTAATATATATTAAAAGTAATAAAGGTCCAAAGATTGATCCCTGTGGGACTCCGCAAACAATATCAAAAGCTCCTAACTCCTCCAGGACAACAAACTGTTTTCCATTAAAATAATAACTTTTAACCCACTTATACGTTAGGCCTTTAATGCCGTAATGCTTTAACTTTGAAAGTAAAAAATAGAGAAATGATCAAGTATTTCACTTTTAAGAATGCTTTTTTTAAACAAATTAATAAAAGCATTGTTGGTTATAATGGTGTCAACTAAAGAAGTTGTTGATTAAGTAATTCTGGTCTGTTTATTAGAGGAACTGCTCCATTTTCAAATAAGTTATTATAAAACTCATTAATAGGGAACTCAGGGTATTTTTATAGCCAACATAAATTTTGTTTACTTAAAATAATAATAACTAATAATAATAATAAAAATAATAACGATGATAATAATTGTATATAATATAAGTTATAAAATTAATTATAAAAAATTTATACAAACTAAATGAAATTTATTGTTATAATTTTATAATCTAGTTTATTTAGATTAGATTATTTTAGACTCTAAAATACTGCAGATTCTAATTTAATGGTGCTTTTTTGAAACCGTTCTGATTTTATTTCAAAAATATAAACCGTTCTGATTTTATTTCAAAAGTTCGCAGTGAGAGTTAAAAAAAAGCTTATAGGATTTTTTTTCAATTATTTTATTTTATTTTATTTATTCATTATTTATCAATTCAGTTATGCTAATTTATTATTAAATTTCAGTTATATTACATTTACATTTAAATTATATAAAAGAAGAAATTATAAGCTGAACTGATGCAAAATGACGTAACTGAATCTTTATGCATGATTCAACATTTTTTCTTTAAATTTTTCACCTTTATCTTCAAAAACTTTATTATGAAAAGTTTTGCGTAAAATAGTTAATGCTAAATATTGATTTGCTAAAAAAACGCGCCTTACAATTTGCGATGAATAAAATATGTTGTTTTTTGTTTTTAAATATGTTGATTATAGCGTAAATTATTCATTGAAAAAGTTTTTTGAATTTTAAAACATCTCTAGTTTAGTGTAATGATGACCATGCATAACAAAAAAACGTTTTTGAAAGTTTTGTTTTTAAGTGCACAGTTTTATTGTTTTTTAGGTCAAATTTTTAACGAAAGCGATAAGTCAAAGAAAGGTTAGTTATTGTTTTTTTGTTTTGCATATACTTTTTCGTATTTGATTTTTAGTTTTCAATTTTATTTATTTGTTCTTAATTTCTTTTTAAATCTTTACTCTTGCACTCAAGCACACCCATACGTAGGACATTAAGTTGTTTTAAAGATAATAAAAAAAGGTTTCACTTTTCGCATTGGTGTAATAAAGTTCTGTTAATAATCCCCGTTAGTTTTATTTGCCCACTTTGGGTGCTTGGCTTATTCACCCTATTTATATATTTGTGGGCACGTTAGGATAGAACTTTCTAAAAAAATTTGCTATTAACTAACACAATAAAATATATGATATATATCGCGTACAATTTCATTGCAACAATATTAAAATATGATGAACCTTTAAGATAAGAATTTCCAACAATAAAAGACATATCATCAGAATCCGTGATTAGAGTTTAGTTATAACTATAAATCTTTGAACTCGATGTACTTGAGTTCACATGAGTGGACTCGATGTACTTGAGTTCACATGAGTGGACTCAATGTACTTGAGTTTACATGAGTGGACTCGATGTACTTGAGTTCACATGTGTGAATAAGAGAAGGAAATAACAAAAAATAAAAGCCTGGCATTATACTAGATTGTACAATGCTAGGCATTTATTGCATAAAAAGCCTGGTATTGTACAATCTAGTATTTTTTCTGTTTTTGTGATTCTATAAAGTTAAAAACAAAAGTTTAAATAGGTATTTGGAATTGATGACCTAAAAAGGTCTTTGGAAGTGATTTTTTCTTTCATTTGATAAATAAATTTTTTTATCAAATTGAAAAAAATAAATTCGTTCTTTCATAAAAATCATAAGAATTTCATAAGAATTTTTTTGTCTAGTAATAATATAATTTGACAACACTGTTTTATGACATGAACATGGAGCAATATCAAAATGGTTCAAATCAAAGAAACTATCAATTAACATAAAAAAAACTAAATGGACAATCTTTTATCCAAAAAATTTTTTAATATAACGTTTTATTTTTTAACTTTAATTTAAAAAAATTCGCTTTAATTTATGCAAATATCAAATGAGGTAGTGCTAAATAAAAAGTCAGCTGGGTTCTCTTTATCGGCAACAGAGGCATCTAGCATCGGGAACAGAGGCATCTAGCATCGGCAACAGAGGCATCTAGCATCGGCAACAGAGGCCTCTAGCACGACAAATAAACTTTAAAGATTTTTATTCTCTTGCTAAATATTTTTATTTGAAATAAATATTCTTAATATATATCAACTAAATGTTTTAAATATGAAAGTATGGGGCGTTTGATGCACCCTTATTAACACAAATTCAACGTAAAGTTTTTTGTGTTTTTTTCCGTTTTTTGTGTTTTTTAAATATTTTTCGTTCTATTTTTCGTTTTTCGTATATTTTTTGTTTTTAAATACTTTTTGCTTCATTTCCAAAGGTAATTTAAAATTTGTATGCAATTAAAATTTATATGCAATAAAACCCAAAAACAAATACGATCTAAGAAATGACAATTTTTTTTTTATCAATATAATTCACTTAAAATTTGAAAGTTCTCTTAAATAATATCGTGAAGCTTTCATAATTTCATGAAGCTTTCGAACATAATTTTCATAATTTCATGAAGCTTTCGAACAAAAAAAAGTTTTAAAACATTTTGATTTTTCACAAAGTTGGATTGTTTCTACTTACAAAAATAAACTGAAAAAAGTTTCTTTATTGATAATAAACTACAGCTTTTTATAGTTTCCTAAATGTAATTTAGAATAATTATATGTAGGAAAGTTTTAATATAGGAAAGTTAAATATATAAAATATTAACTTTCTTATATTTAAACTTTTTTATATTAGTTTTTTCTATATTAAACATACACCATAGTATTATGTAACATACACCATAGTATTATGTAACATACACCATAAGGATTGGTGTACTTTACTATGATTGTAAGTTAAGTTATGATCAAACATTTAAGAAGAAACATGTTATATATATATTTTTTTTAAGCAGTTAAAATTGTAAAACTTTGTTCCGCTTAGAGGGAAAACTCTAGACAAGTAGTATTTAGGAAATGTTCACGTGGAAAATCCCTTGAAAAATAATAAACTTAAATCTCAAAATCCCTGGATATTTTTGCCGTAATTTATGAATTTCAATCACTCATACTTTTCCTCCTAAGTCATGGTTTTTTGTTTTCCGGACCATCAAAAGATCACTTAATTTTAATGTATTCTTGTTGAATTTTATCAAAGCGCTTTATAAATTTAAATTAATATTAGAAAAATGTTCTTAAATCATATTGTTTTAAAGACTTAAAATTATTTTGACCTCAAAAAAAAAAAAAAAAAAATTGTGATGAACAAATCAAAAGTAGTCCAAAATTTTTACTGTGTAAACGCAGTTCTACCGTTGGATTGAAGACATATAGGAAAAAATAATTAAATGTGTTATTGTAGAACCCATTAAAGAATGTGTTTATTCTACATTAAATTCGATAATAAAAGTTGCGTTAAGAAAAACAAATGGCTGCTATTTAATTATTTTCCCTAAGTGCAAAAGCTGAATCAAATTCTTTTGTTGTTTCCCTAATTGCAGTAGCTTAATCAAATTCTTTAGTTGTTTTGCAGTAAAGAAAACAGTCTACTAAAATCAAAAACATATGTCAGGAACCTTATTTATAAGTATTATATGAAATAGTTGAAGAAAAAAGAAGATACTCAAAATAAAATTTTTAAAAATTTCCAGTTTAGCATAGATTTGAATGAATATTCAAAATATAGTAGAAAGCTTATGGATATAAATCTTTGCTTCAATAATTTCAACAATTATAAAAGGATTTATAAATTTTGAATTAATGGGAATAATAGGATCGCGTAATTGAGATGATTGCCTCAAACTTCTTATCAAAAAACTTAACGCTTTTAATAAAAATAAAAAATAATACTGTAAATTTTAATTTTATTAATATTGTTAAACTTATTTAAGAAAATGCATTTTGTTGGAAAGTCGTATAAAATAAGAAAGACAAGTATATATTTAAATATAGATACTTAAACATTTATATAAATACAGCAATTATAAATTACAGAGGAAGTTTTGTGAATATGTCTATCAATCTTCCTCTGTAATTTATATTTGTTGAAAAAAGTTGATATGTTGCGCAAATTATTGCTAAATTGTAGCGGCCGTGTTTTAAATGTTGCACAATAGGGTATCCTAAAAATATGAAAAAAAAAAAAAATGTACACATCAAATTCTTTGTCTATATACTTATAGAAGACCGCTAGTAGTGAAAAAATATTTATAGGACCACTCTAATTACTTACTGTAGAAATAAAAATCGGATGTTGTTAAGTGTTCTGAGTTTTTCTTAACTTGAATATTTCGGCTGCATCTAAATATTGTTACCGCTAGCCGAAGGTCGCGAGTCCAAATAGGGAGAGCTAGCATTTACGTGAACTTGATGAGTATGACACCATGCGACTTGACATTTTACTTTGAGGCACTTTTCATCCTGACTACCTATTGTATGAGAATAGCCAAGTTTGTCGGGCAAGCAACACCTACCATACCTTTTTAGATTACCATTACCATACTCTTTTAACAAATCTAATAGCTGTTGTTTTTTCATAATTTAAAAAATATTTGTAATCTTTTTTTTTTTTTTTTAAAAACTGTATTAGGATATGGGTGGTAACTGATTAACTAGTAGTATATTAACAAACTTTTCTTGATCACTGTTCCTAATTTTAGGAAATTTTAAAAACAATATATATTACTGTGTTTTTAAAACATCGATAATTTGGGTACAAATTCTTTTTTTTTTTTTTGACTAACAGGTATTTTTAAACTATTATATACCAATATACCAACTTTATCTTATTTGGCTTTAAAATGTCGATTTTTAAATTATATAATCTTTGAAAGCGGCAATCTTGATTACCTTTTTAGAAAACGTAAACTAACTTAAACCAATCATTTTTTTCTGATAAAAAAACAGCTAATCAAATTGTTAAAAAATGACAAAAGAATCATTTGCGTAATTTAGTTTTTAAAAAATATAAAAAAATAAATACGAAAAACAAATTCTTATTGCGAATGGGGAAAAGAAAGATGACTAAAAAAAAAAGTCAAACTACAATGTTAATTTAAACCCACGACGACCGCTTTACCTTCTCAGAAGTCCGGTTTCTGTTTTTTCTCAACATCAACTTCCAACAAATGGAACAGTTCTAAGATATTATCAGTATGTTATTACAGAAAAAAGTTAAAAGTTCAAGTCTACCCAAGAAGATATTTCATGAAAAACAAAGAGCGGGAGTAGAGATATAGTTTGCCTTGACAAAGATTTCTGTTATGAAAATATGGAGAAATGCTGCCTAAAAAAAATTGTTAATATATGTAAATATGCTGGCTTTGGAAACTATATAATTTCCGAAGTAAAAATTGTGCAAAAGTTTATTAAACTAAATAAATTGTACATTTCAATGCAAAATACAAGTTACTTAGCCTGAAACACAGTTACTAAAAAAATAAAAACACGAAAATCAGTTTGAAGAATGTTTTGAAAATTTGTTTGATATTTGTCAAAAAAACATAAAAGCAAAAATAAAATCAGCTGAACAAGCTGGAAATAGGTCGCAGGCTTTACATCTTGGCGCTAGCAGCTAAAGATTATGCGCAGTATTTGTAGGAGAATAATTTTTTTTTCAAAAAATGACTATAATCACCTTATAAAATATTTGGCTTTTTATCTTGGGGTCGAATCTAATAAGCTTAATGAATTTAAAATTCATCAATCTGGAGCTTGTCATGAAGCAAGATTCATGGCTGATGCTTTGTATATTCTTACACTAGAAATGACATCCACTAAATTGAAACATGTGCCTTTATTGTTGCTGTTTGTTATGCTCCATGGTACCTCAAGTCTAGAAGCGCTCAACATGCTGTACTTAATGATTTTAATGCATTTAAAGCACTATATGTTATCAAGGA